GAACTGAAAGTTCAAAAACATATATATATATATATAATATATATATGCATATTATATATATAGGGGAATTTATTGGGATGACTTACAGGCTAAGTTCAACAATGGCTAGCTGTGAATGGAAAGTCTAAGAATCCAGTAGTTGCTCAGTCCCACGAGGCTGGGTGTCTCAGCTGGTCTTCTGTTTATGCTGGAATCCCGAAGAAGTCGGCTCCAATGCCAGTGAAGGAATGGATGTGCTGACAAGGTGAGGGCAAGCAGGAGAAGAGTGAACCCTTCCTTCTTCCATTGTCCTTACATAGGCTTCCAGCAGAGGGTGTGGCCTTCCAGCCTCAAAGTCCGGATCATAAATGTGCCCTCCATTTCTGGATTGTAGTTCATTTCAGATATAGTCAAGTTGACAACAAGAACAGCCACCACGGTCATTATGGCTTTTAAACCTACTCAGCCAAGAGAGCCCTTCCCCCAAATCCCACAGCCCATTCAGAGAACTCACCCTTAAGTTTCTGCCCCTCTGCAGGGCTTGGTAGCTCACACCTGTCATTCCAGGTACTTGGAAGGCTGAGGCAGGAGGATTGTATATTTGAAGCCAGCCTCGTCTACACAATAAGTTCTGGGTAACCCTGGGCAACTTATGAAGACCCTGTCTCCAACCAAATGGTTTTTTAAGGGCTTGGGGTGTAGCTTGATGAGAGGACACTTGCCTAGCAGGCACAAGACCCCAGGTTTAACCCCAGAACCGCAGAGTTCTGTTCTTCCAGCTCCACTGTCCCCAGATCTGCCCTACATCAGAGAACCACAATAGTGAATGTACCTTCAGACTCATTGTGAGGGACCTCATTAAAAGGGACTGGCTGGACACGTCTGGATCTGTAGGACAGGCCACTGGGAAGTCGGACTGGATGCAGTTCTGTGGCAGAGCTAAAGCTGAAGTTCACGGAGGGAACTGATGGCTCTGTCTTTGTCTTTGTTGTTGTTTTTAATTTTATGTGCATTGGTATTTTGCCGTGGGTGTCGGGTCCCCTGGAACTGGAGTTACAGACAGTTATGAGCTGCCATGTGGGTGCTGGGAATTGAACTCAGGTCCTCTGGAAGAACAGCCAGTGCTCTCAACTGCTGGGTCATCTTTCTATCCCCTCTTCTTAATAGGGAGACAAGGCCCTATTATGTAGCTCAAACTGTCGTTGAAGTCACTGTGTTGCCTAGGCTAGCCTTGAACTCCTGATCTTCCTGCCTCAGCCTTCTGAGTGTTGGAGTCAAGGCAGGCGTGCATCAGCTCTTGATGACTTTTAAACTTCTGTTGTTGATTCACATGCTCCAAATCTTTATCTCTCTAGGCTGTAGGTGGCAGGTCCATTCTGTCTCCCATACCCCTAACTATTAAAAAAAGAGCTGTCTCTGCTAAGCCCTGTTTAAGAAGATTTATTTTCATAATTTAATAATGTGCACATATGGATGTCTGTGCAGGGGCTGGCAGAGTCCAGAAGGGGGCGTTGGACCCTTGAGCTGGAGTTACAGGCAGTTATGAGCTGCCCAATGTGAGTGCTGGGAAGTAAACTCAGGTCCTCTGGAAGGGCAGCCAGTGAAGCAGACTGTGGAGGCAGAGGGCAGAGGCAGGAGGATCAGGAGTTCAAAGGCCAGGGCCAGCCTGGGTTACAGTGTCTCAAAAAAAAAAAAAAAAAAAAAAAAAAAAAACTGAACAAAACAAATACAAAGAATGAGGGTGAAACAAGATTTTCAAAGAAACAGAAACTCGAAGATCATCAAATGCAGACCTTTGGCCGGGCGGTGGTTACGCACACCTTTAATCCCAGCACTGGGGAGGCCGAGCCAGACGGATCTCTGTGAGTTCGAGGCCAGCCTGGTCTACAGAGTGAGATCCAGGAAAGGCTCCAAAACTACACAGAGAAACCCTGTCTCAAAAAACAAAAACAAGCCGGGCGGTAGTGACGCACGCCTTTAATCCCAGCACTCGGGAGGCAGAGCCAGGCGGATCTTTGTGAGTTCGAGGCCAGCCTGGTCTACAGAGCGAGATTCAGGAAAGGCGCAAAGCTACACAGAGAAACCCTGTCTCAAAAAAAACCCAAAAAAAAAAAAAAAAAAAAAAAAAACCAACCAACCAAACAAACAAGAAACAAAAAAGTAGACCTTTGGCTGATTCTAAAGGGTCTGTATCAGACAGATGGAAAAACAAATTTCAAACACATCTGAGACAGAAGCAAAATACAATGATGCTGGACAGTAGCTGAGAGACATCTGGGAAACAGAGGTCAAGTGAGGACCATCCCTTCCCTCTAGGACCATCCTTCCTGTTCCTGGTGTCAGGGGACTGTTCTGAAGGGACAGTTCACGGTCATCGGCAGCTGGCTGTGGGGACGGAGGCAGCTCTGACGGTTTGCCAGTGACTTTGTGATCTTTGAGCCCAAAGAAAGCACTGTAGTCTTGACTGTAATGGTGCCCGTGGAGGTCCGCTAAGTCCACCCTCTCCTGTAGGAGACAGGGAACGTGGCTCCCCCGGCTCTGTGGTATTCTAGGAGTTATTTCAGGAGATGCAGCCAAGAGCTTGGTCATCTCATGTAAGTGGCAGTCCCCCACATTCACCTCCTTTATAACTGAAGTACGTCGTTGCTGGTAAACAGTATCAGCAATGAGAACTCAGAGTCACGCTGTACTGCCAGGATCTGCCGCTGCATCTAAGGATCCTCTGCTGGTGGCAAGGTGGCTGAACCAGTTTCGCCATCCTGTGCAGACCAGACCTCGTGGAAAAGAGCCTGTGCCGGAGGCTGTCTCCACCCGGCTACCCCTTTTGTTGTTTTGTTTTGGCGGGGTCTCACTATACAGCCCTGACTGGCCTGGAACTCGCTCTGTAGACCAGGCTGGCCTCGAAACTCACAGAGGTCCTCCTGCCTCTGCCTCCCGAGTGCTGGGATTAAAGGCGTGTGCTACCTTGCCCAGCAAGACCATCTCCTTTTTAAAATAGCTTCATTGGGATGTAGTTAATATACCATACGAAATCACCCACGTAAAATGGCTTTTAGAATATTCACATAGGTATAACCACAATGGGTAAGCTGTCAGCTTGGCCCAAGCTAGAGTCATCGGGGAGAAAGGAGCCTCCGTTGAGGAAATGCCTCCCTGAGATCCAGCTGTAAGGCATTTTCCCAATTAGTGATCAATGGGGGAGGGCCCAGCCCATGGTGGGTGGTGCCATCCCTGGGCTGGTGGTCCTGGGTTCTATAAGAAAGCAGTTTGAGCAAGCCATGTGAAACAAGTCAGTAAATAGCACCCCTCCATGGCCTCTATCAGCCCCTGCCTCTAGGTTCTGGCCCTGCTTGAGTTCCTGTTTTGACTTCCTTTGGTAATGAACAGCAATGTGGAAATGTAAGATGAATAAACCCTTTCCTTCCCAATTTGGTTTTTGGTTATGGTGTTTCATCACAGCAATAGAAACCCTAACTAAGACACACAATTTTTAGCTTTGTTTTAACTTTACATATATTGGCGTTTTCCCGCATGTGTGTCTATGCACCATGAACATGTAATGCCCTTCGAGGCCAGACGAGGGCGTAGGATCTCCCTGAACCGGAGTTACAGACAATTGTGAGCTGCCATGTGGTTGCTGGGAATTACACCCAGGTCCTCTGGAAGAGCAGCCAGTGCTCTTAACTGCTGAGGCACCCCTCTATCCCCAAACCACGGTCTTAAAAATGATCTCTTTTATGTTTGTTTTAGAAGATGGTGTTTCCCTATACTGTCCAGGCTGGGCTTGCAACTCCTGCTTCAGCTCTCCAGCTAGCCGGGAATACAGGCACATGCCACCATGCCCCCTGCTCACTATTTCAGTTTATTCTCACATCGTTTAACCCTGTTATCATCCCCTCCCCCTTTAAAAACCATGTATGAGCCGGGCGGTGGTGGCGCACGCCTTTAATCCCAGCACTCGGGAGGCAGAGCCAGGCGGATCTCTGTGAGTTCGAGGCCAGCCTGGGCTACCAAGTGAGTTCCAGGAAAAGGCGCAAAGCTACACAGAGAAACCCTGTCTCGAAAAAAACCAAAAAAAAAAAAAAAAAAAACCATGTATGGGGGTTTTGCTTGCATGTGTCTATGCACCATGAGCATGCAGTGCCCATGGAGGCCAGAAAAGAGTGTGCACCATGTGCATGCATGCAGTGCCAGTGGAGGCTAGAAAAGAGCGCAGGATCTCCCGCAGCTGGAGTTAATGGAGAGCTGTGAGCCACCACCGGGTGTCACTGTACTTCGGCAGTTGTCTCCTCCTTTCTTTGCCCTGCTGGGCTGGGATTCCCCAAGGCCTATGATCTACTGGGATCCAACTTAGAGCCCCCAGGGTCCTCTGCAAGAGCAACAGACACAAGTGTCCTCAACCACTGAGCCCTCTCTGCAGCCGCGTTATTCCTTATAGAGAAACCACGGTCTTTTGGCCTGAGCTCCAACAGAACCGTTAAAGTGGTGAAACCAGGACTTGGGCCACATCTGGCTGACTCCACAGGCCCTGGCACTCAGCCTGCAGCTTTCTGGACTTCCCTTGAGCACAGCCAGCTCAACAGAGCCTCATCTTCCCCAAGCGAGTCAACGCGGGCTCCTTCCCTTCTTCACCCCTCACTCCGCCGTACCAATGTTGCTTTAATGATTCATCTAACGTGGTTCTTCATCCCACTGCCGCTGTCTGAATCCAGGTGTGCTATGTCCTTGTACACGTAGCCCGGCACTCCTCAGCCCTGGAGATGGCTATGCAGGGCTTTGGGTGGCTGAAGCCCTGCTGTGGGTCGCCTGGAGCTGGACTCAGCCTTCTCCTTCACTGCATGGCACACAGGCTTGTGTAAGGAGAAAGAGGTTGAGAGGAGTCGAAGCAGACACTGTCCACCTCTTTGCCCTCACTTTCTGCTGCCTCTCTCCTGGCAGTGCCCTCCTTCCAACTGCAGCTAGAGACCAGATCTCTATGGGACCCCTGTGGGAAGCTCAGGGGTTGGGCTCAGTCCACAGCCTAGATTGCTTCCTGGAGAGCTCTTTTAGGTGGAATTGGTGCTCCAGCCACACTATTTTTTTTTTTTTTACAGCTTCTCTACTGAGACATTTCGCAAAGCTTTTTTGCTTACTGCTGCTGCCGTTGCTCGTTATACTGATAACATGGAGCATAAAAGCAGCTGTGGCGTCGGCAGCTTGGGGTTCAAGTCCCTATCCTGTCACTTGCTGGTGGTAAAACAGCATTCAGTCTCAAAACCCCAATTTATATCTCGGCTGTGAATGAGTGCCTACCTTAGCATTGTGGAGAAAAGAAAAAAAGATAAAATAAGGCAGGGGTAACAAGCAGTTGGTTTCGGATCCGTTTTGTTTCAACTCTGTTAGCCGGCTTGCAAAGCTCCCGATGCGGAATCCTGCTTTTGCCAATCGCCTGGTCATTTCTTTGCCCTACTGGGCTGAGATTCCTCCGAGGTTAGGATCCTCTGGGCTTCAACCGAGTCCAGAGTCCAGTTCAGGTGGACCCACTGAGGACATCTGTCAAGAATAACAGGAGGTCCCCAGGAGGAGGTGGCCAGATGGGGGGCACTGACCACAGGTGCCAGAATCTCGAGACCCGGAGCACACCCCCAGCGGCTCCCCAGGTGGACACCAGGTTACAGAAGCGGGCTTGGTGTCTCCCGCAGACACCCTAGGGGCGGAGTCAACGCGGGGGCGGGGGGGGGGGCGCTGGCAAATCTCACCCAACCCGGGTTAGTCTGCTGGTTCACGCAACTGAACACAAAACACCTGCCCCGAGCTCGGGTCCAGATCCTGCGTCTCCCGTCTCCCGAAGCCCCCTGGCTGTGAGTCTCCCAGAGAGCAGGGGACATGCTGCGTTAAAGAGAGCGCTCCCGGGACGTGGAGATGAGACTGTGGGGCGTGAGAGTGGGCGCGATGATCAAGAAGATGGGGACTACCGGCGCGTCAAGGTGCGAGGCAGGCAGCAGGGAGAGACCATGTTGGTGGCAGGGGTACAGCAAGCGAGAACCACAGTGCCGGGCACTGGGTGGGGGTGGGTGGGGAGCGGGGGAGGAAGAGGTCACCATTTGTGGGACCGGAGAAGGGATGAAGCAAGAGACTGCCCGCCGAGTCAGAGACCTGGGTCCGCTTCCTGGTACCTGGTGTTTCTCTGACGCCCAATGTGTGTGCAGCACCGTACCGGCTCTGGGGGCTGCAATTGTGTGTGGCTCGGTTCAAGGAAAGTCCCTCCCTTCACACTGAATCTTCCTGACATAGCTGCTGGGTTCTTGCTAATGGGAGGGGCGGAGGTCCTTAGGATGGATCCTCCTGGATCCAGCGTTTGGAGGAATTTTTAACACCGTGGGAGAAGGGCCCCAGCGCGATCACCCAGTGCTCCTGTTCCTTCAAGGCTAAGAACTCGCTCAGTCTCCAGGATCTATCCATGTCAGGCACAGAAGGAGAATGACTCTCCTAAGTCCATGTTCCTGTTGGCTGACATTTCATTCACCCTCAACTTGACCCTGAGGCTGCACTGAGCTCTGCAGGGGGCTCTGCCTCTAAAGCCGCCTTCTTTAGGTTGCCAGAAGGGACGGTTTGTTCTTTGACATGGAGCACAACAGTCAGTCTGCGTTAAACACATCAGGAGAGTGGAAGAGAGCCAGGTGGCCCCATCGACTGGGCATACCATTTAACTATCCACACCCTCGCAGCTCCAGACCATAAAATGGGAACTCCACTTTGTACTAGGAAAATTCAAGGCCCTGACCATCTTGACAGTGCTTCTCAATGGTTTGAGGTAAAGGTGTCTGGAAGAGATGCGTGACATTTGAGGACAGGGGAAGGATGTCCTCTTCACCGAAAGCAGCAACGGTCCCTGCCATGATGACTGTGTTTCAAAGACCTCCATGACCACCACGAGGAAAGCTTGGCGCTGGCCTACAGGGCTCCCCCTTTCCCTTGTCCTTCCCCCCAAGGGACTCCTGGGTCCCATTCTCTCAGCGGGAAAAGCAGGCTTGGCTTGATTTTCCTCGCTAAAATTAGGGGAAATCTCTCGGTGCACACAGACGTCTTTCTCCACACTTGGCAGCGTATTTAAGTTTCAGTTCCACAGAGACCTTGCTGCTGTGTTATATATAAGTGGGGACGCTGAGACTCAGTATGGCTGTGAAACCACCCAGGAACCCCGGCTCCCCAGACAAGTCTAGTAACAGGAGAGGACACATACCTAGCTAGGCCTCTCTGGGCCCTAAGCCAGTGCTCTAAAATGGAAAGTACCCCGAGCCTCCCTTTCCAGGAAAATGTCATCATGAGTCCCCTGTTGTCCCCTAGGTTCCTGGCTGGTCAGTGCTCTCACAGCTTGCAGAGCCCTTTGGGGGGAAAGCTGCCGGTGAGCTTGCTGGTTCCCCTGCTGGTCTGTGGGCTGCGAGCAAAGATCAGGGTGGACCCGGTTGCCTGCCCCATTGCGCCCTCATCCCGTCCCCAGCCACTCTTCCCAGGCCGGGACTGACTCACCCACGCGCTGCCTCGGGGCTGCACCTGCCGCGCTGGCTACCAGGGTCACCCGGAGCGAGGGCCTGCACCCGAGGCCCTAAGGCCCTGCGCCTGCGGGACAGAGGACCGCGGGGCGGGGTGGGGCGATGGCCTTCCCTCTCCACAGCCGGCTCTGGACTTCCACCAGGGAATTAGGCCAAGAGATCAGGCAGAACTCGCTAGGCGGGGCGGCGAAGGATGGGGACAATTGTGCGTGCCCCCACCCCCAGTCCCGCAGTCTGCAGTGGTCGCGGTGGGAACTCCTGAGGGACTGATCCCACTTTGCCTGTGCTGTGAGTGCGTTCTATCAGCAGCCCCTCCTCGTCAACCTGTGCCCGATAAGCTTCCTTTTTTAGTGCTAGCATGGTTACGCCAGAGCGTTTCTCGCCGTACATTCTGTTTGGCTTGTTTTGAGACAGGGTCTCGGTGGTCTCGAACTCGCCATCCTCCTGCTCACCCTCCCCAGAGCTGGATTACAGGCATGCGCCACCACACCAGCTTTTCGGCCACACTTCTTTGGTCGTTCGAAACAATCACCTTGTGCTGGGTGGGGTGGGGTTGGGGTAGAGAGCTAGCCTAGCATGTATGGGGCCCTGGGCTCCTCTTTAGCCCCCAACAAAAACAAATCTCACTAAAACCAAACCAAACTAAGATGAACGCCGCGGAGTTTCCTGTGCCAGGCGCGGCGATCGCCTAAGGGAATGGGACTAGTAACTGGCCCTTCCGCACGCAGCTGGTTCAGTTCTCTCAGGATGCTGAGCACTCCGGGCAATTGCCGGAGGCAGCGCCTTCCATGCGGACACGGGACCGTGCTGTCCCTTTGTGCATGGTGCAGGCGGGGACGTGCTACTTGCCCAACCGCCGGCTGGAGAGAAAAGGGTCGCAGGAGTCTCGGCCCCGCCTGCGTTGCGGGGCGGGGCGGGGCGGGGGGAGCTTCGGGGCGACTAGCATCGGAGCCCTATGCGAGAAGAGCCGTGCGCAGAGCGGAGCCACGCGATGCGGTGCCCACCACGCAGGGACGCGTCACCGCCCCGTCACAGCCCCCCTCCGCAGATCTATGCACCACTCGGGATCCGGTAGCTTCCTGTAGCTTCCGGGGGTCCCTCCAATCCCCGCCTACAGCTGGAGGGGCGTGTGGCTCGCCAGGCTGTGATGCTGCCCCCTGGCGGCACGATGCTTCTCTAAGCCTCTCGAGTAACTAAGCTGGTAGGGAGAGGTTGGCTCCACTCTTCCAAATCCTGATTTTGTAAGGTCTGGACAGTGACCTGCCTGTGCTCCTTTCGTGATCCACAACAGTGTTCACATTAAAAATCAATCAATCTGTCTCGAAAAACCAAAAAAAAAAAAAAAAACAATCAAACAAATAGGCAAAAAGCAAAGGAAACTAAAGAACTACTGTATCGAGATATTATTTACATACAATAAATGCCAGACATTGTTCATATTGTCTGAGACCTGAGGCTTTTGACAAATGGCCCAATTCAAGAAACACGTTTTCATCCCCTCGCAAAGCTTCCTCTTGTCCTCTTTCCAGCCTTTTGACTTCTTCCACTGCTCCAGACATCCACTGCTCTGATTTCTATTACTGTCCCCTGTCGTTCCCAGAATGTCCTCTAAACAGAAGCGGTCAGCCAGGGATGTTCGTGCCTGGCTCTTTTCACAGAGCACAATAGCTTTGAAATCCACCCCAGTGGCTGAACACAACAGACGACTGTCTTCTCTTCTGACTCTGGGTTGAGGTCTGTCACTGGACAGGGTCACATCCCTGGCCTTGGCCTCGTAGCGCCCCGGACTCGGACTTAATGTTTACACAGGACAGTGGAGGGCAGCCAGCTGCCTAGGTGTACGACCTATGACCACACGTCCCCATCACAGGAAATTTGTTCACACTGGCAAATTTGTTCACACTGAATATGGGTGGTGTTTTATAGACCCCAGGGAAGGCAGGGGGCGCTGGACCCTTCCCCTTCACTGTCCTCAACCAGGAGACGGACAGGTAGGCCTTGACCAGAGCCAAGAAGACACCCCAAGGCAACTTCTAATTGGTTTGTTTAGTTAAAGCAAGCAGGCTTGAGTGGGGTTCCTAGGAAGCGGGCAGTGTAGGTTAGATGCCTGGATCACATTGAAGCCGGGAGAGGCAGAGCTGGAAACCATCAAAGATGATCAACCTTTGCTCGGGAAGGAGTCAGCGCTGGACTCAAAATGACCTCCGAGGCAACATACCATCTCTAGGCCTTGCTGGAGAGTGTCTCTATGATGTCTCCTTTGTTACCGGGGTTTTCCTCTGCATGGAGACACCTCACACTCTTAACCATTTAAACACTCCAGGCCGGTGTTGAGGCACCCTCTCCGAGTCCCTAAGTGAGATATTTGGGCTGTTTCCAGCCGGGGATACTGTGAATAAGAATGACTTTCATATGTCTTAAAAACTCATTGTAGGGCCGGGCGGTGGTGGCGCACGCCTTTAATCCCAGCACTCGGGAGGCAGAGCCAGGCGGATCTCTGTGAGTTCGAGGCCAGCCTGGGCTACCAAGTGAGTTCCAGGAAAAAGGCGCAAAGCTACACAGAGAAAGCCTGTCTCGAAAAACCAAAAAAAAAAAAAACCAAAAAAAAAAAAAAAAAAAAAAACCTCATTGTATGCACACCTGTTTTCATTTCTTTGGGGAAAGTACCTAGCAGTGGGTGGGCTGGCTCATGGAGGGGGGGGGGATTTGTTTTCTGTTGCAGCGTTGGAGGTTAAAGGTGGGCACTGCACATGCGTAGACACTCTGTCACTGAGCTATTAGCAAGCCCCACCTCCACCCCTTTAACTTTTTATTACGAGACCGGGTATCACTGAGCTGTCCAGGCCGAACTTAAATTCGCTCTGTAGCTCAGGCTGACCTTAACCTGGTTAGCCTCCTACAGCCTCCCAAATACTCCCCGTAATTCTAATTACAGGCTCGCCGTACCAGCAGACCTGACGAAGCTAGCCCTTCTCTGCAGCTACAGGAAGCTGTCCAATTATTTTGCAAAGCAGTTACACTACTTCTTTTAAAGTCCATGGCAACCTATGGCTTGGCTTTGAGTCTCTGTTCACTCATGTTATCTTTCTCTTTCTCCGTCTCTCTATCTCTATCCATCCGTCTGTCTGATTGTCTCTCTAGGGTCTCACCTAGCCCAGGATGGTCTTGAACTCATGATTCTCCTTACCTCCACCGGAGTATGGGTTTACTGGCATTCAGCACCATGCTTGGCTCACTTCCTGCCTCTCTCCTCTCTCTGGATCATGCTGGGTTTGGTGTTGGGCTCTGTGTCTGCTAGGCAAGTACTCTATCATTTAGCCACACCCTTATCCCTTAAAATAGGTGTGTATATATGTGGGGGGAGGGTGTTTGTGTGTGTGCCCTTATGTGTTCATGTGTGTGTGTATGTGTGTGTGTGTGTGTGTATGTGCCAGAAATGTTAATCACAAAGGGGTGTCTTCTCAATGGAGGAGGTAAAAATCAAATACCCAGCCTTTAATTCCAGCACTTGGGAGGCAGAGGAAGGCAGATCTTTGTGAGTTCGAGGCCAGCCTGGTCTACAGAGCTCCAGAGTTCCAGGACAGGCTCCAAAGCTACGTAGAGAAACCCTGTCTTGAAAAAACCAAACCAAACCAAAACAAGACCAAAAAAAAAAAACCCCAAACGAACAAACAAACAAAGAAAAAACCAAAAACAAAAATCAAATTCCATCCAGAATGCTGAGAGTGCATGTTGTTAATGACCTGGTGACCTTTTTGTTGTCTGTGAGGCAGACCTCACCCACCTTTTGCTATAGAGGCAGACCTCACCCTAATTCACCAGAATGATTACCCCAGACTCTTCCCTCCCTAGACCGTTACCCATCCTTAGGGGAGATGTCACAAGTACTTCATGGCCTGCTGACCTCTATGCTGTCGGTCAGAGACCACACGAGATTCTAGGCCTTGAGCTACAGAACCCACCCTCATGGTCACACGTACTGTGTAAAGGAGTCTCTATGTAGTTACATCTTAAGCTTTATTGTGCATCTAGAATTGGACTGATTGTTGCCTGGAAACCTTTCCCCAAATTGTACTGTGTTTTAAATACGCTGACAATGAACCGCCTGGCATTGGACTCTCTGAAGTCTGATCCAGGTTGATGACGTCAATCTGCACCGGGTTTTCAATCTCATCTTGTTGAGCGGTTCTCCTTCCTGAATGACACCGGAAGGAACCCCCTCAATTTGCCTTTAATCCCAGCACTCAGGAGGCAGAGGCAGGCAGAACTCTGTGAGTTTGAGGCCAGCCTGGGCTACAGAGAGAGTTCTGGGACAGCCAGGGCTACACAGAGAAACCCTCCCTGTCTTGAAAAACCACAGAGAGAGAGAGAGAGAGAGAGAGAGAGAGAGAGAGAGAGAGAGAGAGAGAGAGAGAGAGAGAGAGAGAGAGCTCCACATCTTGCCATTTGAGTTTTTGGGGCAGAGTCTGCCCCTGGCTTCTGGCTCACCAAGTAGGCTGGGCTAACTGGTCAATAAGTCCCAGGGACCTCCCCTTTGCCTCTCCAGTACTGGAATTTCAATTTCACACACCTGGCTTTTTACATTAAAAAAAATTTTTTTTGAGACAGGGTCTCACTATATAGCCCTGGCTGTCCTGTAGCTCACTATGTAGACCAGGCTGGCCTCCAATTCACAGAGATCCAACTGCCTTTGCTTTCCAAGTGCTGGGATTAAAGGCATGAACCCCCACTGCCCTGCCACACCTGGATTTTTACATGGGTTTTGAGGATGGGATTCTGGTCTTCAAGCTTATGTAACAAGTACCTTATTCATCTCTCCAGGCCTAAAAATGTTTTTTTTTTCTTTCCTTCTTTGAGACAGGGTCTCACTAGGTTATTTAAGCTGGCCTTGAGCTCGCTTTATAGTCCAGGCAGGCTTTGAACTGGTGATCCTCTCTTTTAGAATCCCGAGTAGCTAGAATTACTGGCCTGTACCTTCAGGCCTGGCTTGGAACATGGTTTTGGATTAAAGAAAGTTTTGCCCACTTTATATTTTCCTCCTATGTTTTTTTTTTTTTTATTTTTTTTATTTTTTAAAGATTTATTTATTATGTATACAGTGTTCTGTCTGCATGTATCCCTGCAGGTCAGAAGAGGGCGCCAGATCTCATTACAGATGGTTGTGAGCCACCATGTGGTTGCTGGGAATTGAACTCAGGACCTTTGGAAGAGCAAGCAGTGCTCTTAACCTCTGAGCCATCTCTCCAGCCCTTCCTCCTATGTTTTGGTCTGTAATTGAAGACGTTGTATCACTGTGTTTGGATGTCTGATACAAGCAAATTCATTTTTCCATATGATATGTGGAGGAGGTCAAGACTCATCTCTCCCTTACGTGGATATCTAGTTTTTCAGCTTAGTTGAAAAGACTTCCTTTTACTGTTTCATTTACATTGATAACCTTCTTAGGATCCAGTCCATTGGGCCAGCACTAGCAGGACACACAATGGCCTCTGGACACCTTGAAAAGACATCTGTTACTCCAGGCAGAGGCCTGTTGGCACCTTAGTGAGTTGTGGTGTCTTTTTGTAGGTTGAATTGTGTGGGTGTGGATATAGGGTGCAGGGGTGTCTTGCTAGGAAGTATATACACTTTATCCTGGGGATGATGAGGGGCTGGTGAAATGCTCTCAATCATAGGACAGTGGCTTGGCCAGATTTTCAGTTCACACATCTATTATGGCTTCAGAGCAAAGAGGGGAGGTCAGAATGCGGCAGGCGGACAATTAGGGCATCATTCACTATACGCCAAGCGGGTCTCCCCGTTAATCTTCTCAACTGGGGTAAGCGGTGTTGTTTTGAGGTAGGGTCTGGCTATGTAGCTCAGGCTGACCTTGCAGCTCTTTGCCTTAGACTCACGGTGCTAAGATTAGTGAGGGCCACAGTGCTCCTCAGGCTGTCCTGATAATGTCATTGAGAGATGATGGGGGTGGCGCTGAAGCAGTCCATTTTTTTTTTTTTTGAAACAGGGTCTCACTCTGTAGTCCTGGCAGCCTTGAGCTCGTGGCAATCCTCCTGGCTCTGCTCCTGAGTGTGGAGATTACAGGTCTGTGTCCCAAAGACCAGATTCGGCCATCTTCTTCTTCTTTTTTTTTTTAATTTTATGTGCATTGGTTTTCTGCCTGCATGTATGTCTGTGTGAGGATGTCAGATACCCTGGAACTGGAATTATAGACAGTTGTGAGCTGCCATGTGGGTGCTAGGAATTGAACCCAGGTCCTTTGGAAGAGCAGCCAGTGCTCTTAGAGAGCCACTGGCATATGTGTGGGGGCTCACACCTGTAATCCCAGCAGTGTGGCTAGAGTTTTTCTCTCCAGGTCCCAACAAGCCCCAGCAGTCCTGCAGCCCACTTATAAAATAGACACACAGACTCTTATATTATTTAAACTGTTTGGCCTAATGGCTCAGACTTCTAGCTATCTAGTTCTTACATCTTAAATTAACCCATTTCTGTAAATCTATACCTTGCCACATGGCTTGTATCTTACATGTTGGTACTTATGGCGGCGGCTGGCAGCGTCTCCTGACTCAGCCTTCCTGTTCCCAGAATTCTCTTCTCTGCTTGTCCCACCTATACTTCCTGCCTGGCTACTGGCCAATCAGCACTTTATTTATACAGAGTGATATCCACAGCACAGCAGTCTGGAGGTTGAGGCAAAAGGATTGCCAGGAGTTCAAGGCCAACCTGCACTACTGTCTTAGTTAGGGTTTTATTGCTGTGAAGAGACTCCATGACCATGGCATCTCTTGTAAAGGAAAACATTTAACTGAGGTGGTGGCTTACAGCTTCGGAGGTTGAGTCCATTATCGTCAGGGTGGGGAGCAGGGCTGCAGGCAGAATGACGCTGGAGAAGCAGCTGATACAGGTTGATCTGCAGGCAACAGGAAGTAGACTGTGACACTGGGAGTGGCTTGAGCATAGGAGACCTCAAAGCCCACCCCCACAATGACACACTTCCTCCAACAAGGCCACACCCACTCCAACAAGGCCACGCCTCCTAATAGTGCCCCTCCCTTTGGGAGCCATTTTCTTTCAAACCACCGTAGCTACACAGTGAGTTCCACATGTAAACCCGACACTTATTTAACTCTGATCTCTTACTAATGGCCCCCATCTCATCAACCTGGTGGGGTTAAATACTTTACACAGGGGATTAAACTTTCCCAGCAACCAGATGCACACCACTAATCCCAGCACTTGGGTGCTGAAGGCGGGAGGCTTGGGAGGCATTAAATGCTGTCAGCTAAATGAGACCCTGTCTCAAACAGTAAAAGGAAGAGGGGTAGGGCCACAGGATGGCTCAGCAGGTAAGGGTGCTTGCCGCTAAGCCTGATGACCTGAGTTCAGTCCACATGGTGGAAGGAGACACCCGACTCATGCAGGCTGTCCTCTGACCTCTGTCTGTACCCTGCAGGGTGACCTCTGACCTCTGTCTGTACCCTGCAGGGTGACC